GCTCTAGATTCCTTTCCCATTCCCAAACCTTTTAGATCTCTGCTTTGCTGAGCTGAAGATGGCTCAGTGAGTATGAGCAATCTCTGCTATTGCAGAGGACCAGAGTTCAGTTCCCAGTAGCCACACTGGGTGGTTCACAACCACCCATAACTCCAGTTCCAGAAGATCCAATGCTTCTGGTCTCAGAGGGCACACACACGTGTGCGCACACCAACACATACACATAATTAAAAATAATAAAAATAAAATTGGAAAATAACCCTTGACTTCTGCTCTATTCCGTTCTCCTTCACCTAACATCCACTCTCTACTTTTTTCCTAGTTATCTTTCAAAAATAGTGACCACAAAGTACAAAGAAGTTCATATGTATTCAAGTTTCAAGTTAAAATGAAAGTCTCACTAGATCATGATTTCCCTGTATTATACATTTGGTCATATGTAACTTCTCAACTATCAGTGGCACTAAGAGAATTTTTGTGATGAAAAAAACATTCTGTATCTAAGGTATCCAACATGGAAACTTCTAGCCGACTATGTACTGGCAACTGTGGTTGAGGTTCAGCATTTTTAATTTCATGTGGCTTACTGGATACCATGCTGGACAGCATAGTTCTGTAGTCACTTGGAAATCTGTCAATCTTTGCCCCAAGTTCCTCTTGTGGTCAGCCCCTGCCCCCATTCCTGTATCTATCAATGCCATATTAATTCAGCACAATGCACATCTTAAGCCTATTTATTTATGGCCCTCACCCCACAATGAAATATCTCTCTCCCTATATTTCACCAAATTTTTACTGTAAGATTTGAAAAAAAAAAAAAATAACACGCATGGCCGGGCAGTGGTGGCGCACACCTTTAATCCCAGCACTTGGGAGGCAGAGGCAGGTGGATCTCTGAGAGTTCAAGGCCAGCCTGGTCTACAAAGTGAGTTCCAGGACAGCCAGGAGTGTTACAAAGAGAAACCCTGTCTCAAAAAACAAAGAAATATCATTCATGGAACTCAAAATTCTTCAGCATCTGAAAGAATGGAAAGAATTCCAAATAGCATTCAAAATCAAAATATCACAATCTCACTTATTTTTCTTATCTCATTATATACAAAAATCCTTTGCTCTAGTCAAAAACATATGGCCATGGCTCCCACCAAGATTAACATTTGCTGTCTCTTTAGCTGTACTATGTTAACGCCCATACTCGGCCTCCTACGTTTGTCTTTAAAACTCTTCTCCACCAAAAAAAAATAAAAAATAAAAAAAATTTTAAAAAATTAAAAAAAAAACCTCTTCTCCACCAATAACAACAAGTCTCTCTTCTGACCACTGTTCTAACAAGTGTTTCCTGGCCACTTCTATACTATAAAGCATATTTATTACTCATTTAAATAGTTATATACTGAATGTTGGCTTAATGCTTAATAGTTACTTAAATCTGTAATTGCTAACTTTTCATTTCTTTCAAACTTGGATCCCAAGCACATAGGGTGTATTACACAGTCCTAAAGTGGTTTCTCTGCAAACAACCCACACATTATTTATCTTCTGACAGTGCAACAAGAACTGAGTTTCTGATAGTATCTGATGGCTCCCTGGTTCTTCCTGCTTACTCTTCACACTTTAAAGTACTATGCCTTAGTAAACCAGGAAAACAGTAGTTTCTAGGTCCAAATCAGAGTATCTCTCTGAAACACTAAAGGCTCCTTCCTCATAGTTCCTATTATGTCAGATAAAACCCATTTCTTAAAATGGTATCAATGAGGCAGACAGAATAAAATGAAGGAATTGAGAAAGAAATTATCTGTGTAATCTACCCACAAACCACAAGAATGTCAGAGATAAGGAAAAGGAAACATTTTGATCAACTGAAAATTGTATATGTAAGCATCAATTTCTATCCTAACTATATAATTTAAATTTTAGTTAAACCTTGTAAAAATATAGGATATTAGCCAGGCATGGGCCCATACGCCTTTAATCCCAGCAATGAGGAGACAAAGGCAGGTAGATTGCTTTGAGTTCCAGGACAGCCTGGTCTACATATAGAGACCCTGTCATAAATAAACAAACAAACAAACAAACAAATGGGTGAATGAATAAATGGATAAATAAGCCATCAAATAAATGGATATAAGCAGTTTCTCGTTGTATTTGATTATTATGCGTTTAAGAGATTCTTTTTTATCCAGATACATAAAAGATTAAAAAAATGTTTCTAATTAACTGATTTTCGAAACTATTGATTTGCATTTGTTTATTTTGGTGTTTTCCAGACCAGATGCTGGTGCATACCCCTGGGTGGCCTAGAACTCACAGAGGCACTAGCCTGGCCCCAGACTGGGAGTGATTGATGCTCTCATACCTTCCGCCCAGCTAGAGCTGGCGTCAAAACATGTGTCGCCACACTAAGCCACTATTTCACGTCACATAGTTTGAGCAAGAGTGAACTTTTAGTTCCACAGGCTGAACACTGTCCATTTAGCATGAATTAAACCAAGCACCAAACGACTTCTCTTCCACGTCCTTCTACACAGAAAACATAAAATGACTGACAAGTACTCTACCAGGCACAGTATAGGTGACTAACCAATTATTTTAATATCACAACCCAAAATCTAGCGCTGATCAAAGTAGAATGGAAAGGCCTTTTTTAATCCTCTCTATATATGCTATAAAATAATAATGCAATGTTTTGAAATAGTCTCTATCTCAAACTATGTAGATCTACATTTCTTTCTTTTTTAAATTTTTTTTTAGATTTACTTATTCATTATGTATACAGAAGAGGGCGCCAGATCTCCTTACAGATGGTTGTGAGCCACCATGTGGTTGCTGGGAATTGAACTCAGGACCTCTGGAAGAACAGTCAGTGCTCTTAACCTCTGAGCTATCTCTCCAGCCCTAAATTTTTTAATTATTACTTTTGAGACAGAGTTTTTGTGTACCCTAACTGTCCTGGAACTCACTCTGTAGGCCAGGCTGGCCTTGAACTCACGGAGATCTGCCTGCCTCTGTCTCTTGAGTGCTGTGATTAAAGGCTTGTGCCACCACATTTCAAAACAGCAGAAGTTAAGGACATTGACTCTGACATGAACAACTGCTAAATTGAGTTCCTTCTCTTGAACTCACCTCAAAATAAACAAAACAATAACTAGCTGTGCTCATCTGAGGAAGAGTGACAACTATCGGCTGGAACCAGGAGGCAATTTTTCCTAGGTTACGACAGTACACCGATGCTTTGCAGGACACTCGGGGACTGTCCAGGAGATGACTGCACTGTGAACCCTAAGCCATCTTCTCCCAGGACCCTGAGAAAGCAGAGCACCTATTTCTTGATGACTGCACTGCGTACCCTAAACCATCTTCCCCCAGGACCTTGAGAAAGCAGAGTACCTATTTCTTGAATGAATTGTTTCTGTTCCCCTCAGAAACCAAGAATTTTCCTAAAGTGAACAGTTAAGTCTTTTTTTTTTTTTTTTTTTTTTTTTTTGGTTTTTCGAGACAGGTTTCTCCGTGTAGTTTTGGTGCCTGTCCTGGAACTTACTTTGTAGTTCAGGCTGGCCTTGAACTCACAGAGATCCACCTGCCTCTGCCTCCCAAGTGCTGGGATTAAAGGTGTGCGCCACCACTGCCCGGCCAGTTAAGTCTTTTAAATATAGTATTTTTTATGCTTTTAAGAAACTAAACGACATGGGGTAGTGGTGGCGCATGCCTTTAATCCAAACACTCAGGAGGCAGAGCCAGGCAGATCTCTCTGAGTTCGAGGCCAGTCTGGTCTACAAAGCAAGTTCCAGGAAAGGTGCAAAGCTACACAGAGAAACCCTGTCTCGAAAAACCAAAAAAAAAAAAAGAAAGAAAGAAAGAAGGAATACCAAGGATAAGCAGAATAAGGAACCAAAAAAGGTCTCACCTAGCCTGGGTAGCAGTAACAGTGGAGAAATGATAAACGGCTCAACCATGAAGGAATGAACATAAACCACTGAACTAAAGCCAAGTATGTGAATTTAGAGAGGAGGCTCTCAAGACCTTTAAGTGATCCAGTATCTAGTACCTAATGAAATGAATCGTGAGCTCAGTTCAGATATCCTGGAGGTCTGTCTCATTATGTCAGTGTACAGTACAGGAGGTAACATGTAGAATAAAAAGAATCCATTTCAGTTTCAGGCAAACAGGAATTATACTAAATTATCCTTTTACAAATATCTGAAATTGATCAAAACTGCTAACAGATTTGCTCTTTCCAGAAGCAAATATTAAACAAACCTATTATGCCTTACATGCATTTACAATAAAATTTATTTTGTAGTCAAATACCTTTTACACTAAACCATATTTACTTTATTCCATCTTTTTTTTTTTTTTTTTTTTTTTTGGTTTTTCGAGACAGGGTTTCTCTGTGTAGCTTTGCGCCTTTCCTGGGACTCACGTGGTAGCCCAGGCTGGCCTCGAACTCACAGAGATCCGCCTGGCTCTGCCTCCCGAGTGCTGGGATTAAAGGCATGCACCACCACCGCCCGGCTTATTCCATCTTTTAAAATGTGCTAGAATTCTTTTTTAACTTCATAAAGACAAACTCTAAAAACAGCAAAGAGTCCCCAAACCACCTATTTGACAAGATATACAATATAGATTTCACTAAGCAACATGAATATTTAATATAGATTATCCACAGTAATTATTAAAATAAAAGGAAAATTTTAAGAACTATACACAAGCTAATTAACACAGTTAGAAAGGTACAATGACTTTTTGAAAATCAGTTATACTGAAAAAAATAACCTAAGTTAAAAATCCCGCAATATCAACTTGTTGGGACAAATTCTCTGGTTTTATATTTGACTTTGTTTTAAAGGAAGCCAGTATCTATGCATGCTATGTGTGCTTTGTGTATATTATTGATCACTAAGAACAAAAAAATTTCAATGACTTAAATTTGGCAATTCATTCCATTAGGAACCTGACCTAATTACCTGCAATGTATGCTTTAATTCACAAAGTCTACTTACCACATACTTTACAGCACTTATAAACTGGTTGTGGAAAAGCAGGTGCTGGGTTTCATCTTCTGGATTTGAAGCCGTATAAAGCATTCCACAGATATTACAGGACACTGCTCCAAATCTTTTGTGTCCTGCATCCTATTTATAAAAAAACAAACAAAACGTTTTCTTCTTTGCCAACTATTTCTGAACACAGCCTCCAAAACTATAATGTGACTATAAAACATGGACTGCTTAATTTATGAGCAACGTTTAGATTTCTTACAAAAAATAAGTAATGAAGTCTAAAATCTGTGTGCAGTAAATCCGTGCTCTGACCTCCACATGGACACCAGTGTGTTCTCTCTCTTAGTTATAATAAATTAAAAATTTATCTAAAAAAGCTACTGCACTGGCACAAGCCTCAAACTCCAGCCCTGGAGTTTACTGGCCACAGACTCACTGAGTTGATGAGCACCACATTCAGTGAGAGACCCTGCCTCAAAACTAAGGTGGGAAGACACTAACAACACCTTTATAGACTCCGTCCTTCACACACAGGCACTCATACATGCAACACATAAAAATTTTCCATTTTAATAACCTGTTGACTTGTTGAAGAGCTTATTACATTTAAAAGAACTGAGAAAATATATATCAATATAAACTTAGTCCAAAGGCACCAAATAATAAATAATCTCTATAAGAAAGCTAATTTATATTTCATATTTAAAGTAATTGCAAACTAGAGAAAATAATGTATTGCAGACTCTCCTAGGACCCATGTGGAAGAAGTGGAAGAAGAAGAGAATCAATTCCCAACAGGTGTCTACTGATCACCACTGAGGCACCATGGCACGGGTATGTACATGCTCAAGCACATGCATACATGTATGCACACACACACACATACACTAAAATGTAACTTAAATTTTTTTGTTTCTGTTTTTTCGAGACAGGGCTTCTCTGTGTAGCTCTGGCTGTCCTGGAACTAGTTTCATAGACCAGGCTGGCCTCAAACTCAGAGATCCACCTGCCTCTGCCTCCTGAGTACTGTGATTAAATTTAAAGGTGTGTACCACCACCACCTGGCTGATAGTATCTGTTTTTATTCACACTGTTATACAATCTCAAACTTTTTTCATTGCAAAACTAAACTCTACACCTAAACATTATCTTCCCATTCTCCCATCCCTCCAAATCTCTAGCAGTCACCATCCTACTTTCTTGGCACCTCCCATGAGTAAAATCCCAAGTCATTGTCTTTTTTGTGACTGATTCTTCACTCAACATGTGGTCCTCAAGGCTCATCCATGCTGCAGAGTGTAGGGATTTCTCTTTGTAAGGCTGACCTTACTAACCTTTGTGATTATACACTCATCTACCAATGGACTGCCAACTTTCTTCTATCCTTTGGCACTGTATAGACATGCTACACAAACATAGTTATTTGTACTAAGTTCCACGTCATTTCAAAATTTAAATAAACTTCTGGGAAGAGGTAGTGATCAAGCTACGCATCTAAGAAAGCAATAGAGCCAGATGGTGGTGGCACATACCTTTAATCCCAGCACTTGGAGGCAGAGGCAGGAGCCAGCCTAGTCTACAGGGTGAGTTCCAGGACAGCCAGGGCAACACAGAGAAACCCTGTCTCAAAAAACCAAAAAAAGAGAAAGAAATAGATGTTTTTTAAAAAAAAGTGTAATTATTTGTTATGAATAAAACCAGAAACAAGAAAACTGAAATATTATTTATTGTGGGAAGGGATTATAATAATGCCAGGAATGCTTTCTATAATGAAACTTTACAATGACCACGAAAAAAATTAATTTGTATTTTAAGAACCTTGCACTGGATGGTGGCACACTCCTTTAATCCCAGTACTCAAGAGGCAGAGGCAGGTGGATCTCTGAGTTTGAGGCCAGCCTGGTCTATAGAGCAAATTCCAGGACAGCCAGGGCTACAAAGTGAAACTCTGTCTCTGAGTTTAAAAAAAAAAAGAACCTGACATAAATAATTAATTTACAACAACACTTTACCAATAGCTAAGTTGTATACTTACTATGACAAGCTGTTTTTCATCCACTTTCTCTGATTCTTTCAGTTTCAAAGCCTTTGGAATTGTTATCTCCAAATGAGAATTATACTTCAGCTGAGAATGATTTGGTGGTATATCCCTTAAAAAAAAAAGAAAAGAAAAGAAAAGAAAAAAGAAATTACTGGATATTATACATCCATATAAGGTCAATCATTAAAGACAAGAACACATTTCTATACAACAAATTTCAACTTAAGGAGGAAAAAGATAACCTCTTAAAAACCAGTGAGCTCTTCTCATACATGCACAAGGCCCTAGGCTAGGTTCAACACCCAGTATCAAATTTAAAAAGGAAATTATAAAAATCAAATAAACTGGGGCTGGAGAGATGGCTCAGAGGTTAAGAGCACTGACTGCTCTTCCAGAGGACCCAGGTTCAATTCCCAGCACCCACATGGCAGCTCTCAAATGTCTGTAACTCCAGTTCCAGGAGATCCGACACCCTCACCCAGACATACATGCAGGCAAAACACTAATGCACATAAAATAAAAATAAATAAATTGTTTAAAAAAAAATCACATAAACTAGGCAAAGCATAAAATTGACTTAAATATCTTATCAATGGATTGTAAATAAAATGTGGTATATATACACAACTGAGTATTATGTACAGGTATAGGCACATGATACTTCTTGCTGCATGGGTAGGCCCCCGAGGTCTGCATCAACCCCATGGAGTTCATCAACCCTGACTTTGTGACAGCAATGATCCCCAAAGTGAAATGGGTGGTGTTTGTGCAGGCAGCAGACACAGCAACCTGTCCTAGGTACCCAAAGAGCCACCTGAGGGCTATGACCATGATGGGATGTATTGCTTGAAGTGGATATACTGGAGGGCACATTGCAGTGCCCAGAGTCTGGTCATTTCCCCCCCCCCCCCCATCAGGCATAGGATCCCCAAAATGCTGTTGAGTGACCGAGGAAACCCAAAAATAACCTTGCTAGCAGCCATGCTGGCATTTTGTGACTGTCTGTATCTATGGCGATACAATCTGTTAACTAGTTATACCATGTGTGACCCAGCTCTCTTCCAATGGTGCACAGAGCACAGTTTTTCTGAGCCCCAGAGTATTTTTTCTTCTCATTTTCAAGAAGAGGATGGAGGGAGAAAAAAAGAAATCTTGGCATTTGCAGCAGCACAGACACTCCTGGAGGGTATTACGTTACATGAACTCATCAAGGGTAGAAAAGCAAACATTGTATGGTCTCACATATGGAAGCTAAAAGGTTAACTCATAGAAATAGTAGTTGTCAAAACTAGGCCGTGAAAAGAGAAGTCTGAAGATGGAGACAGGAGGACTGACAGGTGGGGAGGAGGACGCAGCTGAAAAGAAGAAATAACTTCTAATATTCATAGTACACGAGACAACTCTGTATTTCAAAATAGTTATGAAAGGACTGCCACTGTTTCCTACACAAAGAAATGACGTATTTGAGGTGATGACTGACAATTACTTTTATTCAATCGTTACACATTAGATACCTATATTGAAAGATCACAGTGTATCTCATAAGTATGTATTATTATGTCAATTACAAACTTTTAAGTCAAAAGCCAGGGGGTGGGGTGCACTCTAATCCCAGCACTCGGAAGGCAGAGGCAGGTGGATCTCTATGAATTCGAGGCCAGCCTGGTCTACAAAGTGAGTTCCAGGACAGCCAGGGCTGTACAGTCAAATCCTGACTCGAAAAACCAGGGGGGAAAAAAATTAATTAAGTCAAAAGGAAAAGAAAACTACTAATTATCAATAAACAAAATTGCAGGGTCTCCTATTGTTTGAATGCCTTAGGTTTAATAGTTTTAGCCTATTATTTAACCTACATCACTTCAGTTTGTCCTAAAGGCTATTTGGTGATCAGGCAAGTAAGTCAAATGGACTTACCACTGGCATTCGAGAGAGACCCTTTCCTTTCCTAACACATCCTTACATACCTACGACACCTAGTAGTTCAAAGAGGAAAGGGAAAACACAACTGCTGGCAGCCTAAACCAGAACGATTGTGCAGACAAGAAACGAGGAAATGAAGACTAAGTTCTGCAGCTGGGAAGTCATCCCACATACACACTCACACGAGTGGGCAAAGACAGTATGTCTTCACTGAATAAGCTCTTACTCTTGTTGCTTCATAGAAAAAAGCCACAAACCAGCAGAATGTCCATTAAGTAGATAGCTGCTGAAGAGACCAAGAAAAGCTCTCACAAGGAAAACAAAACCAACCAAACAAACAAACAAAAAGTTTTTTAAAAGGTTATTAATAGGCATAGAAAAAGTTCAAGGACAGTGGTAGCGCACACCTTTAATCCCAGCACTCAGAAGGCAGAGGAAGGAGGATTCCTGAGCTCAAGGCCAGCCTGGCCTACAGAATAGTTCAGGACAACCAGGGCTACACAGAGAAACTCTGGGGGAAAGAAAAAAAAGGAGGAGGAAGAGAAGGAGAAGAAAAAAGAAGGAAAAATTTCAACAAGAAATGTGAGTAAATGATGATTACTAATATTGGCTGCTATGACAAGTCTCTCTAAGAACTCTCAAGTATAATGTTTTAAATGAAAGTGATGCCTTACCTGGGCTTGCTGTTGATAGATGCTTCATTACTGAGTACACTATGAAGCTGCTTAGGAGTTGAACCTGTGAGTTAATAAAGAACATGGATTATATAGTAAACAGTTTTTGAAGATTTATTTTTACATATTATGAGTAAGTCTTTCATGCCTACATGTATGTGCAGGCCCTCAGAGGCCAGAAGAGGGCATCATATCCTCTGGGATTGGAATTACAGATAGTTGTGAGCCACTATATGGGTGCTGGGAATTGAACTTGGACCCTTTAAGAAGAGCAGCCAGTGCTCTTAATTGCTGAGCCATCTCTCCTGAAGTTATTTTAATAAATGAGGCCATGAATGTGAAAAAGAGCATAGAGGGGTATACAGGAGGGTTGGAGAAAGGAAAGGGAATGGAAAAATGATATAATTATAATCTCAAAGTAAATTTTAAAATAAACATCTAATAAAATTAGAACCTCCCTTTTGGAAATTACCTTTCCAAATGAGGCAGAAAAGCTCTATACTATACAAAGTCAGACTAAGAAGCTGCAAAGAGGTATAGAGGATTCAGTTTATCTCTATTGTGTTTGTTTGTTTTGTTTTGTTTTTGAGACGGTTTCTCTGTGTAGCCCTGGCTATCCTAGAACTCACTCTGTAGACCAGGTTGGCCTCAAACTCAGAGATGCGCCTGCTTCTGCTTCTCAAGTGTTAGGATTAAAGGTATGCACCACCACAGCCCCGCCCAAAAGCTTTATTCTTATTATCTCGTGAGTTTTAATATTATTTGAACTGTTGGATAGATATTTGCTCACCTATGTCAAATGAAGCAACAGAGGAGCTAGAGTTCTAATTGTATTCTTCCCTCTACAGAAAAAGTATACTTGGAGCAAAGTGCTGAGGTCAGGGGATCACAGCTGTTACTGAGTGCCTAGATTTCACTCAGAGTGTAATACAAACAGGAGAAGAAATCCATTTACTGAAAAATAAAGTGCCTTCATTGGATCTAATTATTTATATAGCTAAGATTCTAAAAAACAGTTTTAAACAAAATGTTTTCATTTATTTCTGTTTAGAGTTTAGCCATGCAGGCATTGAGCCAATTTTTTTTATTCAGTATTTGTTAATGATTGCTCAAATTAGGTAAATTGAGGCGGGTGGTGGTGGCACATGCCTTTAATCCCAGCACCCGGAGGCAAAGGCAGGTGGATCTCTGAGTTTGAGGCCAGCCTGGTCTACAGAGTGAGTTCCAGGATAGCTAGGGCTACACAGTGAAACCCTATCTCAGAAGAAGACAGACAGACAGATAAAATAGGTAAGACTTTTGTACAGTGTAAGTGGAAAACATGAAGCATAGATAAACCCATAATTCAAAGACACTGAGTACTAAGGGTTAAAGAGAAAAACCCACAATAGTAAAGCACAAACAGCAGGTAAAATCTGAGAACTAAGTTTCTACACCCAACTTAAGCAGTTCATTAAGGGACACTTCTCTAGAGAATTCAAAATAGGAGCTACCAAAACAAAAGAACTTTTGGTAGGCAGGCAAAAGATAGTATTTAGGTACTGCTACAAAACAGTCAATAGAAGCAATTCCCCTGAAAGAATTAATGATAACCATAAACTTAAAAACCACACCAAGAAGGCAGTAGGAGACAGAGGCAGGTGGATCTCTTGAGTTGGAGGCCAGTCTGGTCCTCAGAGTAAGTTCCAGAACTGTGAGCTATACAGAGAAACTCTGTCGCACAAAAACCAAGAAAACAAAACCACAACAACAACAAAACCCCACCATACCAAAGGGCTAGAGAAATGACTCAGTGGCTAAGAGCACTTACTGTTCTTACAGAGGGTACAAGATCCAATCCCAGCACCTATACTGCATGGTCTCTCAACCACCCATAACTCCAGGTCAGGGGATCTGTTGCTCTCTTCTGGACTAAATGGACACACACATATGCATACACAAAGTAAAATAAATCTATTTAAAAAAAAAAACATAACAACCGGGCATGGTGGCACACGCCTTTAATCCCAGCACTCAGGAAGCAGAGGCAGGCAGATCTCTGTGGGTTCGAGGCCAGCCTAGTCTACAAAGGGGATTCCAGGACAGACAGGGTTGTTACACAGAGAAACCCTGTCTTGAAAAAAAAAACAAAAACAAAACCCAAAACATAACAATGGTCAACAGGCCTATTTCACATAAAAATTTTCTCTAATAGTAACAAATACAGCATTTGAACATTGTAAAATTTAAATAAAAATGTCAAAGTATTACCTGCAAACTTTCTGTCTCCATCAATCTTTGCTTGACTGGGAAGAGCTGAAGCAGCAGCAGTGTCTTCTAATGAGCTATTCTCCACCTCAGATGCTGAACATAAGCTGAAATTCTGAACACACATGCCATGTTTCTAAGTCAATCTCTGGGACTTATTTTAATACATTTTCAGCAAATTCTGCCTATTAAAAATGTTTTTAAGATAATACTTTATAACTGGAGTAATTCTCATAGATATGTCTATAGTTCATTCATGATATTGCAACAAGTTACCAGCAGTCCCATGCTAAATTTAAAACAGCTCAATGGATCATTAATCCCAGCACTCAGCAGGCGGAGGCAAGCATATCTCTGTTAGTTCAAGGCCATCCTGGTCTATGTAGGGAATTCTGGGACAGTAAGGGCTACATAGTGAGTTCCTATCTCACCAAACACCAAAACACTTTTTTAAAAGTTTAAGTATCTTCCACAGTCACCCAGCTCTATGCCTCTCCTCAAAGTACATGTCAGTACTGTACTGTCCAATATGGTACCCACCACCATGGTTACTGAACACTTTGGGTACTTGAAATGTAATTAATATGGTTTGAGATGTGTAGTAAACATATATCAATTCAGATATAAAGACTTCAGCACATACACACAAACGTTAAATTGACAGTATTTTTATATAACAGACCAAGTAAAATACATTAAAATCAATTTTAACTGTTTCTTTCTGCTCCATTAATATTAGATAATCTTTATGTTTCACATTAAATTTCTATGTTGTCCTGAACAGACTAATCTTTTCCCTTATAAAATTTCAACTCATCACTTAACAATTAGCCTCTTTCATGAGACTTTCCCCAATTTTTTCCAATTATCACCATCATCTACTTTTTCACGCACTTCTCACTTTTTTTAAAACAAAGACCATATTATAATTATCTTTTTATTACTTAGAATCTTCAATTCAGAACTTTCTCAAAGCAGATAGACCATTAGTAACAAGAATATATACTTCAAATTCTACCAAAGTTGGTTATCTCATGGAATCAACTTCATCTTGTAACACTAATTTCTGTGTGTTTTAGGAGAGTTCACATTTAAATGTTGGAGCCAATGAAGTACAAACTGGAATTACCAGCCTGATATGAGCATCCTGATGTGGGTGCTGGGAACTAAACTCAGTTCTTCTCCAAGAGCAGTATGTACTCTTAGCCATTCATCTCTCTAGCCCGCAATGCTACTTTAAAACATGGAGGTTTTGGGGTTGGGGATTTAGCTCAGTGGTAGACCGCAAGGCCCTGGGTTCGGTCCTCAGCTCCGAAGGGGAAAAAAAAAACAAAAACAACAACAAAAAAAACATGGAGTTTTTGTTGGTAGATTTTTTAATGTTTTGTTTTTTCTTTTTTCTATGTGTAACCGCCCTGGCCATCCTGGAACTCACTTTGTAGACCAGGTTGGCCTCAAACTCATAGAGATCCACCTGCCTCTGCCTCCTGAGTGCTGGAATTAAAGGTGTATGCCACCATTGCCCAGCCTGGTTTTTTGTTTGTTTTTTTTAATTAAAAACAAAAGCCAGGTGTGATGGCACATGACTATAATCCTAGGACACCCAAGAGGCTGAAGCAGGATTCCGAGTTCAAGGCTCCTATGGGCTACATGGCAGGACCCTGTCTCAAGTCACCCTCATGCTTCTCCCTCCCAAAAGCCAATTAGAGTGAAAACTTTTTAATGAGAACAGTCACATTACTAGTGAGTCTTTCTCCACTAATAAAATGTTAGTAAGTTGATTTGAAATAACTGATGTTCCTATTTGGAACTGGGGAAATGTCTCTGATTAAAGAAAGCACTTGTTAGCAAATATGAGGACCAAATTCAGATTACCAGAAGCCTTAAATGCCAGCAGGATACAGCAGCCCTCCTTCCTCTCACCTCAGATGACAGAGACAGGAGAGAGAGTCTCCTGAGCAATCTGGGTGGTGAGACCAGCTGTATAGACACACTCTGGATTTGACTGAGATCTCATTTCATTGACTAAAGTAGAAGTGACTTAGGATGATTTTCATCAACCACGAGCCCACACATGCAAATATGCGCATATATATATATTATATATATATACACACATAAAAATGGAACAAAGAAAGGGCTGGAGAGATAACTCAGCAGTACTTGCTGCTCTTCCAAAGAATCTGAGTACAGTTCCTATCACCCACATCCTGTAGCTCAAACTGACTCCAGCTCACTGAATTCTCCCTCCCCCCTTCTCTGGCCTCACAGGCACCTGCACACACACATAGCATTCACTTACAAAGACACACACATACACATAAATAAAAATAGATCTTCTAAAAAATGGAAGAGCTGGGTGTGGTGGCACATACCTTTAATCCCAGCACTTGAGGCAGAGACAAGTAAATCTCTGTGAGTTCAAAGCTAGCCTGGTCTACAAAGAGAGTTCCAGGCTAGCCAGCACTATATAGTGAGACCCACAGGGTTGGCGAATGCCTCTGATCCCAGAACTTGGGAGGCAGTTTTTTGTTTTGTAAGTTTGTTTGCATTCCTTTATTCTAGTAATAGAAATCTTTCTGAATTTTTTGTCAGTACTGAGGATTAAACCTATGGCCTTGTCCAGGCTAGTATGCGCTTTGCCACTGAGTTGTATCCAGCCCTAAACCTGGCCAGCCACCCTAACTTTAGTTTGTCATTTAATCATTTAGGTTAGTCACTCAAGTTAAGTTACTTAAATATTCAAACCTACTTTTCTTTTTTTTTCTTCCTGAGGGATTCTCTGTGTAGCCCTGGCTGTCTGAAACTCACTCTATAGACCAGGCTGGCCTCAAACTCAGAGACCTGACCACCTCTGCCTCGAGAGTGCTGGGATTAGTTGCCACTAATGCCCAGCAAGTATCACTTTTCTTATCTGTAATATATGCATAACAATTTACAGTGCACATTGTGACAGATTTCTGATATTTTCTTTACCTGCAACAGAGGCAACATTCATTAAACAGAAACTACAAGGGTGGAGTTAAGCCATTCTACCTCCCTCCGTCTAAACGGGTATAAAAAATCTCTAAGTGACCCACAGGATTGGCGAATGCCTCTGATCCCAGAACTTGGGAGGCAGAGGCAGGCGATCTCTGTGAGTTCCAAGGGCAGCTTGGTCTATACAGCTAATTCCAGGAGAGCCATGGCTACACAGAGAAACCCTGTCTCGAAAAACCAAAAATAAATAAATAAATAAATCTAAGTGAATGCTACAATTTAAATTGTATTGGGATTAAAGGCCTGCACCACCACTGACCAGCCACATTATAAACAGGAAATTTTCTTAAAGCAGGAAACATATCCTCTTCTATACAGTAACCCAGAAGAGCAGGTACTGAAGCATGCTCTGAAATGAAATGGTGACTATCACTTTTCTCACATGATAATGTGAGCACACTGCTCATATAAAAAAAATTTACAATCTAAAAGTCCTTTATTAAAGAAAAAGACAAACTGACAATAAATTCTTTTGCAGCTATTAATAATATTCATATATCAAATGATTGCACAAAACCAAACTCAGAAAGTTTTACATATATACAAAATACTACTTATATAAAATTTAAAATACATACAAGCAAAGTATTCTTTGTACATGTATATATAAAATCATAAAAATAAAATCAGAAAATGTCAAGAAGCTCAGAAGCACGTTTAACTTAAGAGGGGCCTTGAACAAATCTTTCCTCCTGTCTTGGTTTCTAAGAAGCTGAGATTTCAGGGCTGCGCCCCCAGATTCAATTTGCTTTACTTTAAATAATCTGAAGTAATTTTTAAAAAATTCTCATTTTATCAAATTTGAATAGTAGATGAGAGAAACGTTCACTGCTATTAAATTCTGAATATTCAAGAATTCAAAACATACAAATTTTAACACAGCATCAGGTTTCTAGACTGTTTCTTACATTGAAGAACTCAAGTACTTTTCACTAAGCAGGGTATTAGAAAGGGCCAGACAATGTCTAAACATTAGTGTTCGAGTGCAGCTTAGTCCAGAGAAATGGATTTGGTTTCTTGCCCTTCTCATTAACCACCTCTTAAAGTTTGAAGCGCATCTGTGCAGCAGAGTTAGAAGATACACTCAACTGTCACACTTGGACACAACCCCAACTACAAAGCCTCATTTTCCTGCATTTATCTGGAACTAGACCCAGAACATTACATGTTAGGCAAGAACCCCACCATTAAACTACGTTTCCAGCCCTATCACTTGCTCATAATACTATTCACTGCTTACTTCTAATTGCTGCCATTATCTATTTATTAAACATTTTGAATGATCTTTTAATTGATGCTTTCATTTTCATTCATACAGAAAATTCAATCTAAAAGCACCAACTAGCATCTGTTCTTTTTAAGTTCACTTTGGTTTTCAATCCTGGAACAATGGGCACTGATTTTCATAGTATTTGCATAAATTCAATCTTATTCATTCATAGCCCAAATGTCTCGAAAATGAAACTTAAGTATTCTGAAAGTGACTTATGTCTATTAACAATGACCTCTTGGCTCATCTGATTTTCTCATGTTCAGGGTATCAGGGTACGGTGTATGAGGAACTCTGTGTTGAGAATTAGAATACTTGCATACTAGTCCTAAAATCTATCACCATATGTGACCCTCATTTCACATTCTGCTGTTTTCCCATAAAAGTAAATAATTAATATAAATACACTTGTATTATAGAGAGTACTCAAGTTCTACACAGAAGAAATTCATTTATCAGCATTCCACAGGTAATTACCTTAGAAATTACTTTAGAAAGAAAAGGCTTCATCCACTTTTATAAAGGTTGAAAATAATTTCTCAAGGTAAGCATTAGATATTCCAGATATAGAGCTCTGGTTTTCAATTATTTTTTTCATTCATTTTTGATTTGGAAGATATAGTTTAGTGGTGGTAAGGATTGCCAAGTCTATGTAAGACTCATCTGGGGTTGGGGATTTAGCTCAGTGGTAGAGTGCTTGCCTAGCAAGCGTAAGGCCCTAGGTTCAGTCATCAGTTCCAGAGGAAGGAAAAAAAAAAAAAAAGGACTCATCTTAGTTTGATCCTCAGCACCATAAAAAAGGAAAAACCACTATAATTCTTCTCTTAAAATGTTGATTTATACTTTTAGAAACTTCCTTTGCCAGCTGTTCAAAATTGCCATAAGATCAACACAAAGGCATTCTTTTAAAGATATTTACCTTTTACATTTCTTCAGCTAAAACAGAGGGTGTTTTATCACAGTTGAATAAATTTTAAGGTTTCTTTTGTGGGGTTAGGGGGACGAGGACTCAACATGCTAAGCAAGCCCTCTACTACTGAACTATAACTCCAACCCAAAAATCTTAGTATCTCAGAAATGGGCACAAGTTCTAAGTTCTAAATTTAAATGACTAAGAGATGTGCTTTCCGTTGTTAAAATTAAATTATTTCTTAAAAAGGAACTACTTTTGTGTGATAAGTTTAAAAGCTAGAATTCCAGTTATGCTTTCCATAAAATAAAAATGGTAAAAAAAAGGAAACATGAGAAGCATACACAGAAAGGTGAAACACTCTGAGTTGCTCAGGTTCATCAAAGACAGGGTTAACAACTTTATCAATATCTTGATATAAAATGCTTCATAAAGTTATTAGTAGAAAGAACGTGGCACCTCTATCGCACATAATAAAGATGATTACCTTATCTGGTGCTGACTCACAAGAATGTTTCATCTGATCATCCAATGGTGAGTCAGGAGAGGGTTTAATATGATTATCCAAATGACAATTTCCAGGAACCCTTTTCGTGGCTTTATTAATTTCAATTGCAATATTATTAATTTTAACTTCTTCAGATTTAATTCCTTTCATTTTATCCTGTTGGCAAGTTACATTACTATGTGGTTTCATCTCTAAAAATGTACTTTGAGACACTGGATGAGGCATTTCTAAAACTGGTGGTGAAAAACCAGTTCGTAATAAGCCCAATTTTTGAGATACTTGAGAATCCAATTTATGTTGCTGCACAGAGTTAAATTTTGAAAGTTTAATTTTAGTCCAGTTGGAATTCCTCTTAGTGGAGCTATTTATTCCATTTAGTATGCATTTCACAGGCTTTGTTTTCCTACTGGGGAAGAAACGGTTACACTGCACATCCTGGTTTGTTTCTTTCTGATGGAGCATTTGTCGTTCAACATCAGTCCCTTCCGGTTTGACTTCTGTAGGCTTCTCCTCCTGTACACTTTCCATGTGTGACCATTCCCTTTTAACCTCTACAGTATCTGATTCAATTTCACCAGCAATTTCTTCACAAAGTTGGAGAATGCTACCTCGCTTGCTCTTTCCAGCTTGCTCCAATTCAGGATCAATACTTTGTTCAGGCACTAATGGCTGTGGAATTTGGGGGGATTTTGTGCTAGTATTTACTTGAGTATGAGCTGATTTCCTTGGTTCATTCTTTTTAGAGACCACTGAAGTAGTTGTTTTTAATTTTCTAATCTCAGAAGTTACAGGCACAGGTTTTGATTCTTCTTTTCTAACAGTCTTCTGGAAACACTTTTCAGATCCGGGAATGCACTCAGAACTACAAGTATAGGCTGTCTCGTGCTGTACTTTGAGCTTTTTTCCTTTGGGAGAATTTATTACTTCATTCGTAACTGAATTTTTGTCCTCCTTACAATCAGACTTTATTTCAAGCACTTTTCTTTTCACATGCTTTTGATTTACTGTAACTTTATTAGATTTACTTTGAGTACTGTTACACTGTTCTCTTCTTGTTGGCTGCAAATTCTGTTTAACTGCCTGAATTTGACTCTGAATCTCTCTACTGCGCAAAGACCTGGTTGAACACTCACTTAACTGTTGTAGTCTTTGTGATCTCCGGTTACGTTGCTCATTTCCTTTGAAGGTTCCAAGCACTAATTTTTCCTGACATAATCTCTTCTTTTTTGTAGATTCTTGTGACTGTCCCTTCACAGTTACCATATTATTATTAATGGATTTAGTTGCATTTTTATCAGCTGCTGATGCTGACCTTGTATTCATTCGTGTTCCCAATTCAGGCTGATTTATTTTACTCTCGGTGGAAGATCTAACCAGTGCCTTTACAGCTTCCTTGGAACCTGGTTTCTTTGCTAGACTGTTTTGAGAACTTTGAATTTCTAGTTCTAAATTTTCATCTTCAATTTCTTTAGTAACTTTGGAGGAATTTTGTTTTGATTTCTCCTGAATGGACATTATTCCTGAGTAATGTCTTCCTTTCTGAGGCGTTTTTGAGGACTGTGGTCCAGGTAGATGCAGATGCTAAGTACTTAGTATTATTACTGAGAAGATCTTAAAAATCAACTTTAACTTATACTGATGTACATTTCCAACAGAATTATCAGGTTGTTTCAAGTAAGGTTGCTCTCTGAAATTCCTAAGACATGAAAAAAGCTGGCGTAAATGCTGCAAGATATTTGCTTTATGATTTTGCTGAGTAGGGAAATGGAAATCTGAAGAAAATTTAATTCTAATTTAATATTTTCAGGAGTTTTTATTTTTTTAATGAAAATAAACTTCATTCAGATCCAATTTGTTTTAATTACTTTAGTTTCAGGCCTAACCCTATTACTAGGAGTTATGTATCACTGACCTGTCTGCTTTGACAAAATTTCTGACAACTTTTTTCTTCTGAAGGCTACAGCTACTGGACGCTGATGCATCTGTAACATGTCTTATGGCTAACAGGTTTCTTTCCTTGGTTGCCAAGTGTCTTGGTTTGTGGCTATTTAATTTCCTTCGCTTAGTAAAGTACTCTATTAATATAGATCTCCTTTTATGCTGCCATTTCTGAAAAATTAAACAAAAAAAGACATTAAGTTTTATTTAATCCAAGAAACAGGTCAATGATAATACTATGCAGAGAAACACCTCAATTTAAATAAAATTTAACTCCTTCTTTTAGACTATATTCTTTAGAATAACACAATGAAATCTCCCCAAATATATTTTTCCATTTTTTACACTTATTTTAAGTGTATAAATATTTTGCCTGAATATATGTACCACATGCATACTTGGTGCCCATAGGTCAGAAAGGGACATTGGATCCCCCGGAACAGGAGGTACCAATGATTAGATGGTTGTGAGTCAACATGTGGGTGCTGGGCATAAAACTCAGGTCCTCTGCAAGAGCAACAACTATTCTAAACCACTGAGCCACTTCTCCAACCCCTCCCAAATATATTCTTCAATAGCAATTTATCTTATTAAAAGTACAGAATAAACTTAAAAATTAACCTATCTCCTCAGATTCACTTACAGTTCTTTTCCCACAAGACAGAACTGATGTTTCAGCCACCATAACTCAAGATAATCTGCTAAAACCATTCCTTATAACCTCTTCTTAACACATTATACAGCGCCTAAAACACAAACAAACAAAAACCTACTTAAAATGTTAAAAAGGTAAAGATGAAATCATAAACTAACCTCTCATCAAATATAACATGCTATAACTCCACCCTGATCAACCATTAGTCTAATATTTATCAAAGCTCATTTTACACATAGCATTCAATTTCATTATTTCTATTTTGAAGAAAACTATGGTACATGCATCCATTCAAACAGTATACATCCATTATATACTGTGGGAAAAAGTTTTAAAATATAAAAAACAATTTACAATGTAAACATTAAATGTATTAAACTAACAAAGCAAAATTTCATGAGGAAAAACTACATATATATAGGTAGAAAAAACGAAACATGTAAGTAAAGCTGATTTAATTAAAAACATTTAGTAGGTAAAGAAGAAAATCTATAAACTAAATGAACAATACTGAAATAGCAAATAGAAGTAAAAAAGACATTAAGAGCTGGTAATGTAGCTCACTTGGTAGAGTGATTGCCTAGAATGCACAAAACCCCATAGGACTTTGATCCATAGCCCCTCATAAAGTCAGGTGTAGTAGCACAAGTCTATAATTCCAGCACTTAGAAATAAAGGCAGGTTGATTAGGATTTCAAGGCCATCCTCAGGCTACAGGAAACCCTGCCTCAAATAATAAACAAACAGAATAGGATATTTAAAAAACTAAAAGACTAAAGACAATGGGGAAATGACCCAATGGTTAAGAACAATTATTGCTCTTGCAAAGGACCCAGGTTCAATTTCCAGTTTCCACATAAGGCACCTCAAGACTGACTATCTTTAAATCCAGTTCAAGAGCATTCAATGTTCTCTGGCCTCTATGTGCACCTGCAAGAATATATGCACATAAGCTCACAAAGACACATGTACATAAATAAAAATAAATAAATAATTAAAAAAAAATCCCTAAAGAACCACCAATGGGAAGCCAGGCATGGTGGAGCATGCCTTTAATCCCAGCACTCTGGGGAGGCAGAGATAAGCGAATCTCTGTGAGTCAAGGCCAGCCTGGTCTACATAGTGAACTCTAAAGACAGTCAGAGCTACACTGTGAGACCCTTGTCTCTAAATAAGTAAAAAATAAAGGGGAGAAAAATACAGAAAGACACTGTGTGTCAACCTCTGGTATCCACACATATATGCCCATGCACACATATAAACATGTATACCCACATACTCTACACATACACAGACAAAATAAAAACTATAAATACTTAATTTCAAAAAATTTTATTTCCAAGACTTTACAAATATTCCTATATGAATGCATAGATACATATAATCAAAGTTAATTTCAATACCATTTCAACAAACTACCCCAACAAATAAGTATCACTGTAATACTGCTTCTATCATTGATGACAATTATACAATAGAATACCATGCAACTGTGTCTAAGTAGTTCCAAGATTCAACTTAATTCTCAGCAAGTCCCACAAGCTTTTTATATACAAAGTGACACTTTGATTTTAAATTTTATTTCAAATTTATTTTATTTTAGATGTGTCTTAGTCACTGTTCTATTGCTGTGAAGAGACACATGAACAAGGCAACTCTTATAAAAGAAATCACTTAATTGGGGGCACGCTTATAATTTCAAACGCTTAGTCCATTATCCTCATGGTGGGGAGCATGGCAAGGTACAAGCAGGTGCTGGGGAGTAACTAAGAGCTACATCATGATCCACAGGCAGATAGAAGGAGACTATGGCCTTGGCATGGATTCTTAAAACCTCAAAGCCTAACACCAGTAACACACTTCCTCTAACACAGAAATGGCCTAATCATTATTATCCTATTATCCTATCAAAGAGTTTCTCTCCCTGATGACTAACCATTATGAGCCTATGAGGGCCATTTTTACTCAAACTACCACACCACACAATTTTGGCCAACTAGGAACTCTAGAAATCTGCCTCAGGATTGCACCACCATGCCAGCCCAAAAAATAATTCTGTTTTTAAAGTGGATCTTGGTGGTGCATGAATGTAATCCCAGCAATTGTGAAGTAGAAATGGGAGGCTCAAAATTCCAAGGTCATGCTAGGCTATATAGCAAGCTTGTGACCAGTCACCTTGACTACATGAGATTCTGTCTCAAAAGAAAAAAAAATATATATGGACATGTGAATCATGTATAAAAGTCAAAGAACTACTTTAAAAAGAGAAAACCAGGCCTCATAGTGGAGCACACTATAAATCACAGCACTCGGGAGCACAGACAGGTGAACCCCTGAGCTCGAGGCCAGCCTGGTCTACAGAGCAAGATCCCGCACAGTCAGTGCAACATTGAGAAACCCTGTCTCAAAAAACCAAAAGAGCTGGAGAGACAGTTCAGCAGTAAGGAGCATTTGGCTCTGGCAGAGGACCTGGATTCAATTCCCAGAACCCATCAGGCAGCTTAAAACCACCTGTGACTCCAGTTTCACGGGATCCTATGCCATCTTCTGGCCTCCATGGGCACAAGATACATATACAGTGAACATACATATATACAGGCAAACACCAATACACATAAAAATAAGTAAATATTTTAAAAAGTAAAAAAGCAAAGTTGTACCCACCTATTGTGTGTGAGGCCCTAAATTCAATCTCCAATAGTGCCCCCTCCCTACCAAAAAAGGGGCTGAAACATTGACAATAACCAATTTCCAAGCTTACTACAAATCAACATAACACTGACAAGGACAGAGAGAAAAACATAGAATGGAGAAGCAGATCCACAAACATTTCATTCCCACTCCTCCAACAGGGTCTCAGGATACAGCCCAAGCTTACCTTGAACTATCATTAATTCTGCCTCAACTTCCTTTTTTTTAAAACATAATTTTTTTTATTGATTCTTTGGGAATTTCACATCATGCACCCCAACCCCGCCCATTTCCCAGTCCCTCCATATCCACCCCTCACCCCCATAACATCCCCCACAAAAGAAAATTTTAAAAATATTAATTAAAGGGGCTGGAGAGATGGCTCAGCGGTTAAGAGCACTGACTGCTCTTCCAGAGAACTGGGGTTCAATTCCCAGTACCCACATGGCAGCTCACAACTATCTGTGACTCCAAGATCCACCACCCTCACACAGACATACATACATACAGGTAAAAACACCAATAAAAATGTTTTTTCATAAATTAAAAACAAAACCAAACAAAAAAACCACTTCACTCCTCCCTTTTTCCTGCCTGTCCAACACCTCTTCATGCACCTTAGTGACATTAGGAGCAGGTGTGTCATAGCCACTCAGCTTTCCTTGCAAATGTTCATTGCAATGAGTTATTGGTCTGGTTCAAGGCCTCTGGCTTCTAGTACGATCAATAGTGGACTCTCACCAAAATTCCTCTCCGATATCCTGCTGTTGCCCCTAGTTGTGGAGATCCTGCGGCTATAGTTCACAGGACCAGTCCCTTCACAGACTCCCGTAGGTCATAGATGGGTAAATATTGGAGTAGGCTAAGTCATGGATGTGAGTCTGGATAGTAGCTGATTTTGTCAGTCCAAGGCCTCTGAGACTACTGCCCTCGGGAAAGGGTCAGAGCCAGCTCTTCTAGGCCCATGCCACAGGGGCCAGCTCTCCCCAGGGACAGTGAAGGGCGGGTGTAAGCTAGACTCGGCCCTCAGATTTCAACACACATTGTTCCTATAGCCACTGTGGTAACACGGGCCACAGAGATCAACATACAGGACCAGAGACTCAGTCCACAGCTGCAGATCAGGCTCAGACATTACCACTGCCCCACGACAGCATGGCCCTCAGACACCAACATGGTCTCAGGTGGCTGACTAAGGCTCTGAGTATTCACAGGGCCCTCAATGGTAACAAGAGCCACAGACATCAACTTAGACTCTGGCTGGTGTAGGGCCTCACAGGCCACTCAGATTGGCATGGCCACAGTGGCCTGCTTCAACTTTCTAAGAGCTGGGATTACAGGCCTGTGCACTATGTGAGGATTGAATCAGGTTTCAACACAACAAATCAATGGAAACTGGTCTTCAACAAATGGAAAAGCACTAGTACTGGACAGCTAGGAAGCAGCAGTAGAAACAGGAAAATAAGAAAAGCAAGAACATCTTCATCAATACTATTTTCATCATCCTTACCTCAGACAACCCACAAAAGTAATTTCAGGTTGATCAAAGACCTAAATGTAAAGTTATCAAACTTCTTTAAAAAGAAAAAAAAAAGGAAGGAAAGAGAAAATCTTGGCTCTAACCAAAGTTTAGGCAGGAAGATCTTTAATATTCCACATAAATCCACAATAAAGACTGGTTCAAAAATCTTCAAAACAGCTTCATGTACCATAACCAAAATCTGAAAACAACCCAAAGTACCTGAGAGACAACTCGTAAGTCATGTGCGGATAGACAAGAGTGACATATCACTACAGTAGAAACTACCCAGTAAACAAAAGAACATACTAGTATAAAGAACAAGGGTGACTCTCATAACCATGCTGAGCAGCAGAAGCTATATACAAACACACACTGTAAGAGTCTACTTTTTATGAAATTATAAAAAAGTCAAGTTTCACAGTGACAGAAAGCAGATCAGATATAGCCAAGGGTTAAATGTCAGGGAGGAAATGATGTACTCTAAGGGGTGATGGAAATGTTCTTATCTTGAATGTGATGTTGATTTCCACAAGTGTCCATCAAAATACACCAAATTTGGTCTTTAAGAAATTAAATTTAAAAAACTGAAATTTATCATATAATCATACTCTGATAAAGGTGTTCAACAAATAAGCTAAAACTGATAGGTTCCAACAGCCAAAAACCATAATTAAACCAAAAAGGCAAGGTAAAGAACAGGGTGAACTTCATGCAATTAAGTAGAGGAAGCAACACACACACCCATATTTATGCACACAGTGACTGGAGGACTGTAGAAGGAGACAGTGGTGATTTTTGGAAAAACTAACTGTGAGACCAGTGTTAGGAGCAGGAGAAAAGCTTACTTTTCATTACATAGCTACTGAAATGTTCTACTACATTCACACAATACGGGTCAGCAGAAACAGACATTTGATACCAAGCCTAAGTAAGGCCTGACCTCACTTTGATCTCCAGAACCCACATGGTAGAACTAGAGAACTGATTTCCCTGACCTCCATGCACATAATCTGGCAGGCACATACATATATCCGTGTACACAATAAATAAATAATAAATAAATGAATGAATAGAAAGCTGTAGGAGCTGAAGAGACAGCAGTTAAGAGCACTGGCTGCCCTTCCAGAGGATCAGCCTAGGTTCCCAGCACCCTCAGGGCAGCTCACAACCTTCTATAACTCTAGTTGCAGGATCTGATACTCTCTTGTGGCCTCCAAATGCAAGTGGTGCATAGACATACACATAGGCAAAACACCCATCAATATAACACAAAATAAAAATTAAGCTGGGTATGGTATGCATGCCTTTAATCTCAGCACTCAGATCAAAGCCAGCTTGGCCTACATAGCAAGGTCCAAGTCAGCCATGGATACGATCTTCCAGAGGATACAGGTTTGAATCCTAGCACCTACACAGTGGCTAACTACTACTCATAACCTCAGTTCCAGGGGATCCAACAAGAAACACATGGTGTACATACATGCATATATGCAAAACATTCATACATACAAAGTCAAAACAAATAAATCTAAAAACAAAAGTATAAACTTAAACTTCCCTGAAAATATAAAGCATATCTAGCCTTTTAATCATCTCAAAATACACAAAATTAATAGAAGCCACTTACCTTAATGAAATCGAAATCCTGTATTACCTTTTTAAGTTTCTTGATGTTAAGTGATGCTTCTAATTACAACTGTATACTTGGGAACCTGGAAGAGAAAAAAAAACAGAATTCTATAGCTACAGCAAAAAAAGCTGTTGAAAAATACATAATTCAGAAACTAGAAAAGTACTGTTATTAAAAATTATCAAGCTGGGCAGTGGTGGCACATACCTTTATTCTCAGCACTCTACTCGGGAGGCAGAGGCAGGCAGATCTCTGTGAGTTTGAGGCCAGCCTGGTCTACAGAGAGAGTTCCAGTAAAGCCAGGGTTACACAAAGAAACCTTGTCTCAAAAAAAAACAACAAAAAAAGTATAACAAAAAAAAAATTAATAATCCCAGCACTTCAGAGGCAGAGGCAGGCAGATCTGAGTTCCAGGGCAGCCAGGGCTACACAGAGGAAACCTATCTCAAAAAAATAATAATAATTAATTAATCAATCAATTAATTTTTAAAGCAGAGTATGACCCAGATATCCCACTTCTCCGTATTTACCCGAAAGACACCAAGATAATACGTATTACAGAGATACTTGCATATCAATGTTTACTCCAGTCCTATTCTCAATAGCTAAGTCATGGGATAACACAGAAACAGACAAAGAAAATGTAGTTTTATAAACACAATGGAATTTTTTTCAGCCATAAAGAAAACTGAAATTGTATCATTTGTAGGAAAAGATGAAACTGGAAATTATCATATTAAACATGAATTCAGTCAGTCTCAGAAAAACAAGTATCACAAGTTTGCTCTCATTTGTGGATCTTAGACTTCATAAATACACAAAAATCATGATTGTACTTGATGACATGAAAAAGCAAAAACTGTATGGGGAACAAAGGAGACTATTGTTTGAATCTTAGATGGTCTTATAACAAAAAACTCAGAGCCAGATATCAGGGTGAAAGCTGAAAGATCAGGGAAGCAGAACAGCCAGTCACTAGTTCTTACCTCTATGAAATCCTCAGTCTAAACTGTTTCCTCACACCTTATATAACTTCCTCTGCCCTGCCATATTACTTCCTGGGATTAAAGAGATGTGTGCTTCCCAAGCAAAGGCAGGAGATCTCAAGTGCTGGGATTAAAGTTGTGTGACACCACTGCCTGACCTTTATGTCTAATCTAGTGGCTGGCTCTGTCCGGATCCTCAGGTAAATTTATTAGGGTACACAATATAATCACCACAGGCGACTAATGGGAGATTAGTAGTAGTAGGGAGAGACACTCAAAGAAAATTTAAACTTGCCTGAAAATGGCTTTATGCAACCCCAAAATAATAATAAAATTGAGGCATAGGGCACATGGCCAGCACTTGGGAGATGAAGGCAGGAAGATGAGTAGTTCAAGGTTATTCTTAGCTATCTAGAGATTTCCAAACCAACTGGAATTTATGAGACCATATCTCCCATAATCATTACATACATATAATTTTTAAAAAATGTTTTTGAATGGTGGATTAGCTCAATGTTGTGGCCCAAGCATATAGTCTCAGTTACTTAGGAGGCTGACTCATAAGGGATCCCTGAGCCCAGGAGTTTGGACCACTCTAAGCAATACAATAAGATACTATCCCTTTAAAGGTTTACTTCTACTACCTCAATTTCTTAAAAATTTTTTTTTTCGTTTTATTTTTTTCAAGACAGGGTTTCTCTGTGTATCCATGGCTGTCCTGGAACTCACTCTGTAGACCAGGTTGGCCTCAAACTCAGAGATCCGCCTGTCTCTGCCTCCCAAGTGCTGGGATTAAAGGCATGCGCCACCATCACCCAGCTATTTCTAAAAATTTTAGTTCAGCAAATGACTTGGCAGCCTGGACCTACCTTGGAAAAAGAAGTGGTACATAGTGGCACCCCCCTTTAATCCCAGTATGGGAGGCAAGGGCAGCCAGGTCTCTCTGTGAGTTCCAGGCCAGCACAGTTACACGACGAGAACTGTGAGGGCTAACACTATGTTTTAGGTTTAAATTATTGCACATAAGAGATCTATAAAACTAATGCCTCTAACAAGTAAGCCCCACTTGCCCAAGGACAGATAACTTCCTGGAACGCTTCAGACTCTTGTTCATGTAAGATAACAAGCCAAAGGTTTTCACTTCTATAAACAAGCTGTGGTTGCCCATACACAGGATGTGCTTGATCATATATGTAGGCAGGAGTAAGTAGGCAGGAAGTTCGTCAGGATATATGCCTGCCCGTGATTGGACAAAGGTGGGGATGCATATGCTTGGGGGTTTTGCCTTTATAAACCCCTGAATAATATAATTTGCTAATATACTCTGGGAATCCTGGGTATGGACCTGGCCAGTACCTATCATCCTGGCCAGTATTTTTAAAAGCTTACTTCAAATTTGGCTCAAAAATTGTAGTAGTGGTCTTATTCTTGCCCAGTAGGATTAGTATTTTTGAGAACCTGTCTTTAAAAAAAATAAATAAAGGATAGAGACATGTCTCAACAGCTAAGAACACTGGTTGTTCTTCCAGAGGACCAGGGTTCCATTCTCAGCACCCATTTTACATTCTACCCAGCTATGTTTGAGTAATTTCTTCACAATCTGTCAACATGTTTTATTGTTTCTGTTTTTTAATATTTATTTATCTTTTGCAGTCTAAAGTGTTATCTCATAGTTTGGTTTGTGGTTACCTAATTGATAGTAATATTAACCATCATGTGTTTAATGGCCATTTGTACATCTTTTTATGGAAAAACATCTTTTCAGAGCTTTTGTCTATTAAAAAATTGATTACATTTTTCGTTTTTCTTCTTCTTTTTTTTTTTTTTTTTAAGGCAGGGTCTTGGCTATCCCGGAACTTTGTAGACCAGGCTGGCCTTGAACTCACAGAGAGCCACCTGGAGTGCTAGTAGTATGCCACTCACCGACAAGAAAAATTTTATTACATTTATTTGTGTATGTACATGTGCACACACATTTGTACATGTGGCAATTAAAGGCCAGCTCATGGAAGTTGGTTCTCTCCTTCCATCATGTAGTTTCCTAGGCTCAAACACAGTTGTCAGGCTTAGTAGCAAGAGCCTTTATTCACTGAGCAATCTCACCAGTTCTTTTTGTTTTCTGAGCCTGGATCCTGCTATATAACATTGACTGAACCTTGTTGTGTAAACTCAGCTGGATTTGAACTCAATACTCTAGGTTATGAGGCTGAAGAGATGGCTCGGAGATTAAGATCACTTGTTGCTCTACCAGTGTTCAGCTGGAACCTCCAGCTCACCCCTGCTTGATCAGGAAAGCCCCATTCCTCTCTCTCCAAACCTCACCCTCTCAGAAAATCTCCAACAAAGAAAAGGCACCCAAAAGCCAAGTTTCCCATTCTTGGCGACTGTGGTGACTCCTCCCCTTAAGTTACCAGCGGGCCAAGTCCTTGCCTAAAGTGTACCATACTTGGGCACAAACCCAGCTTATGGAGGGCACATCATCACCCCTCGCCTATAGGATATTTTAAGGTTCCTGCTTTAGTTCGGCCATGTGACTTCTCCAGCCCCGATCTCTGGTGAGTTGCTTTGCTCAAATATACTGTTTTTTGCTTTTTCAATTCTGCTTGATAAGGCTTACTGCATCGGTGGAGAAACCTATTATCACATTACAGAAAACCTATTATCTTGGTGCTGAAACCCAGGAGAAGTTAAGTTTTCCCACCAGGTGGACTGGATCCCCTGGCCCAACTTCCCAAACCTACTACCCCACCACCTGGACACATGGGGAGCCACTCCTCTCTCTTTATCTTCCTCTCCACCAGCGGTGATCAACTTGGAGTGAGATACCCATTTCCAAGCTACTGCCTACAGAGGTACCAGTTACCTCTTCCAAGTCAAGATCTCTTCTGGGTCAAAGACTCTCAGGGTATCCTGCCAAGCCAAGGCTGCGCCAGGGCAAGCCCAACCCACTTCTGGAGCAAAGACAATCTTTGTTCTAGAGGACCTTTGTGGAGGAAACATCCTTCTCAAAGACTACTCCGACAGTTCTACCCCAGGCTATCTCAGGGGCTGCCTTGCCCTAGTCTTCGATCTCTGGCACAGGCTTGGAAATGGGCAACCCTAGGTCTAAACTCAATCCTCAGTCACCTCTGGGGTGTCTGCTCCAAAATTTTATCTAAATTGGGGCTGTCTGACACCATAGGACAAATGGTTTGAGCTCCCTAATCCAGAGTTTTTGAGCTCTGCACTCCCACCCCTCCCTCTGTAGCCAGTGCTCAGTGGCCCAGGTTTTGTCAGTCAGAGTTGTGGTGGCTCCAGGGGTTGTTTCACCCAGGAATTGACCCGAAGGCATGCACCTCAACTGGGCTGCCTGGGTCACAAGCATTCCTCACCTCTTCTCCCTTTTGTCTCTTCCCTGTTCTGTTTGTCTTTCTACCTACCTACCTCTCTCATGTCTCCACTCCCAGATGGCCTTTGGCTCTTTCACTCTCCCCATTGCCCAACAGACCTCTTTCGTTAACTCTGCTGTTCATGGTGTGTTCTCTTTTTTTTTTTGGTTTTTCATGACAGGGTTTCTCTGTGTAGCTTTGCGCCTTTCCTGGAACTCGCTTTGGAGACCAGGCTGGCCTCGAACTCACAGAGATCCGCCTGGCTCTGCCTCCCGAGTGCTGGGATTAAAGGCGTGCGCCACCACCGCCCGGCTCATGGTGTGTTCTCTTACTGGCATACTTTGGAAGGACTGGTTGCAAGGTACCTACTTTGCATTTTTTACTCACTAGGCTTTCCTGGAATTTGGTCTGAACTATGTTGGGATTCTACCCACCCGCTCCACCTGCAACAGATCCTATCACCCTGTTTGTTTCTGTCTGCTCTTCCACCCCACCATGCTCTACCAGCCTTGATCCAGCCTCCCCAGCAGGGGACACGGTCCTGGCTACCCATACCATTTCACAGTCATCACTAGATATTAGAAAAAAAAACTAAAAAGGCTGAGGATGGTCCCTAAATCTCTGTACAGGAATCAGTGAAATGGCTTCTAAGGTTTTTAACACCCGAGAAGAGGCAGCTGAGTAATCCTGGCACTCTCAGTTGCAACAGAAGGCTCATGCTTTGGCAG